TTGCCCTGCACCCCAACCCCATCTGCCCTGGCTCTGCCCGTGTCCCCGCTGCCTCGCCGTCCCCGTGCTGTGCCACAGGAGTGCGGGTGGCCAGAGGGACCCATGTGCCACCCCCGTGATGCCAGGTGTGGGGGGAGGGGGGTGAGCAGATGGCGCCAGGGTGGGTGCCGGCGGTGCTGGGGGGGTCGGGGAGCCGTTGCCCGGGGAGCGCCGTTTGCCAGCCAGGTGCCTGGCGTTGCCTCCTTATCTGGGATTAAACAAACTCTCCCCAGATCCGGCGCCAGGCGCTGCCCCTCTGCCCGTGGGACCGACCCTCCCCTGCTCCCTGGCCCCCCCATGCCCGCTGCCCCCCTCCCCATGCTGGGCGGTGGGGGGCACTCAGGCCATGGGGGTGAAGAGCCCCCCCAAAAGCTGTCCCCAGGCTCCCCTTGCTCTGGTGGTGCCGTGGCCCCCGGGATCTCTGCCCATCGGGGTGTCCAGGCCAGGCAAACCTGGGGGGGGGGAGCACCCAGCCGGTGCCCCCAAAGCAGGGCACAAGGTGGCACCTCCTTTACCCCCACCTTGGGGCACCCCCAACACATCCCAGCGCAAAGTGGGACCCACCGGGGTGTCCCCCTGTCCCTCTGTGGCTGGGCCTGTGCCCCCAGCGTGGTGAATCCTGGCAGCCCCAGTGCCCGCGGTGCCCAGCCCCTCGGGAGCGGGGTGCAGCCCGCCCCCCCCTCGTTAGCCGCTTGGCTCTTATCACCTGCCGCTAAATTACACAGCACCGGCCCCTGAAACACGGGCAGGTGGCCTTTGGGAGCCAACAGCAGCCATTGGCGGGCTGCCTTTGCCCGGGGAGGGGGACGGGGAGGGGATTTGGGGGACTGCCCGGGTTGGGGGGTGCTGGGGGTGGACCCCGGGGCTGCAATAGGGACCCCACGGGCAGGAGCAGGGGAGCAGCAGAAAACCTGCCCGTACCCCTGCCCGTGCCCCCTGCCCGCACCCCTGGCCACATAACCCCCCGGGGAATGCAGCCCCTCTTACCTGCAGCCCCTGCCACCCCCCCCCCCGCCCCCCAGCCCGTTTCGGGGTGCGGGGTGGCAGCCGGTGCTTCAGAGGTGGCGGTGTCCCCTCTCATCTGCCGCCACAAAGGAGCCGAAGCGGCCGCCGTTACTGG